CGTACCCGCGGGTAACACGTACGGCCCCGTAAAAGTTTTTCGGGTAAAATCAGTATTTCGGGAACCGCGGAAGGTGGGAGGCTGAAATTTTGTGAGCATGTCTCCCGCCCATGTGCTAGTCAGAAAATTTAAATTCAGCTTTCCCCTGCCTGCGGATAACAAGTACGGCCCCGTGAAAATTTTTGACGGGTAAATTATCTCGGGAATCACGGGGTCTAGGAAGCAGAAATTTTAAAGTAGTGGCCCCCTGCCCACGCTTAACTTTGCCTATTCAAATTCAGCTTTCCCGCGCTCTCGGGTATCACCTACGGGCCAGTGAAAATTTTGGCGAGTAAACTATTAACTCGGTAATCACGGAAAGATACTCACCCTTCAATGTTTCGAATTCAGCTTTCATGTGCATGCGCATGAAATTTCTAAATATTTTTCAGTGTTTCAACTATTTTTGCATAGGCTAAAGTACAGCACAGTGAATATCATTAATAGGCAATCGTTTGATGGGCTGAATTGCACAAAACGCATGATTGCACCGGCTGGTCTGGTGCGCGTTGCTGTTTATTTCCGGTTGCTGTAGCCGTCCTGACTATACCACTGAACCTTTCAGATCGACGACATAACGCAACGTATTGAAAAGCTGGAGACACGCGGTGCGACGAAAACAATTAGTGCCGCAGAAAAGTCGGAGCTACTAGCAAAACAGCAATACTACAACGGAGTGTACAAGGAGCGCAAGCGAATTGCCGAAGTTATCATTGACGCACTCAACGAGCACGCAGGAACGCCCAAGAGAAGGCTTATGGTCAGTTTTGTTGAGAACTCCCTTTGTGGGATATTTTTTTACAGTCAGAGCCCCGTTTTGGCAATTACAAAAACTCGTCTCGGCTCGACTGGCGATCTATGGCGCTTTGGCCTTCCAGCGCTTTGCTCTGTCATCTCTGCCAGCACTATTTCGCCGCGAAATAGTGTTGAGCAGCGCTGCCCAGTGTCTGGCGGCTGGATCACGTGGCCGCGGGGGTAATGGGTGGGAGGATTGGACGTAGGTGGGGAGGGGGATGTTGGTTGGTAGTTGCCTAGGTACAGCTCAGAGAGCGCGATTAAGGCCAGGATAATGAGGAGGAATGAAGTTGCTGGTTAGGGGTTCAGGACGATAAACGGTGACAATGAGGAGGAATGAAGTTGCTGGTTAGGGGTTCAGGACGATAAACGGTGACAGTGGTTGGACGTGGTGGAGCCCCGATACGGCTCTGGAGGCAGGAATTGGGAACAGGATACAGGAGGGGAAGAAGGGTGCTGGTCAGGAGTTCGAAGCAAAAACTGCAGATAGCAGTAAAGAGGAAAATAAACCAACACGGTACTACAAAGAAAAATAAATTAAAACAAACTTGAATTTGTGAATAAAAGGAAAAAAGCAAAACCAAAGAATTGAAGCCTGTAACCAAAAGCAAAAGCAAACAGAAACTGAGCTTATGCGAGTATGATTTGTCTTACAAAAACCCGTCTTCAGTAAGCGGTCCCCGCATTTATGAGGTTTTTATGCGTTTTTTGCAGCAATGCAATGCAAAAAACGCATATTGACGAGAGGTTGT